AGGGCAGCGCACCGCAGGCGGGCCCGCTCTTCAGCGCATGAGAGGAAGGGGCGGCCCGCGGGTGGCCGAGAGCGCCCGGGGCGAGGAAGGAGGCACAAAGCGGGGAAAGATAAAAAGTCATGCCGTCATAGGTAAAAAAGGATAAAATCTTTATTTGCACGTTTCCCTTCTTAAAGGACAGGCTCTAACACAGTTTAACACCGACGTTTGAAAACAAACTTAAGTAAAACCCGAAAATAACCGAATTACCAACTTTAGCCTCTCCCTGGTAACAGCACAGCATTCGTGTCCGACTAGCACAGCTAGACGTGCGGCCAGCGAGGATTCGGAAAGTCACATTTAGCAGGGGATGAGATTTAACACATACACACACACGCTTTACATGCGCAATTCCAGAAAGCAACAAGGCCTAAAAAGAACATTTCTGATTTCCCCCATCTTTGGTGGAAGGCCGCATGCAGGTAGTTGCTAGTTGCACCACGTGTAAGATAGTGGAAGGGAAATAGGTAGGGAGCCATCTACCAGCACACCACAGTTATTTACCTCACTTCAGGCAAGAAGTCCTTGCTGACAGGCATAAAACAAGTCGGGCATCAAGGACTAGTCTGCAAGATCTTAACCAGCTACAGCATTTTGTGCTTGTTGCTGGAAGCTGAGTGAGGGGAAGTTTTCCATCAACTTCCACAAGTAAGGCTTCTTAACTCAGTGTTTCCTTTTTGTCCTCCCTCAGCAAAACGCCTTTCCAATCACATCCCAAGGCCAATAGGAGTGGTATGTAACCAGTCTGTCTTCTGATACATAGTTAAAACTGTCTACCATAATCTCTACCTCCTCACTCCTAGGACCACCCAGCTGTAGATAATGTCCCCATGTACAGCCAGTATCTCCCTTCTAAAGATACACAGGTGGCCAGAGCATGCAGACCACAAAAACATCAATAGCAGGCCCCAAATAAACAAAGATGGAAGCGAGTAGAGGAAATGCCATCCTTTCCCTTGTACAGCAAAAGGTATTCTTAGCCTAGAACAAGACCAATTACAGAAGAAATTAGGTAAGAGAGAGAGAGAGGACAATAATCTCATGATCTGACACTTGCAAACTAGTCATTCTTCCCTCAGGCAACATCTCATGATAACTAATGAGGGAACCAAAACCACAACAGGGAGAGCTAATATGGGGCATTGGTCTGTGCATACCCTCTGCTTTTACAGGGCCATTCAACAGCCATTCAGTTTTTTTGAACACAGAAGTTCAGTAACCCAAAGTAAAGCTAAATGAGCGACAGCTCTTCCCTCCCACCAGGCGCTTGCTGTTGTGCTTAGCAGAGGTTTCAGACTGTTCCAACTTGTCACTTCCTAAGGGCTGGTCCTTCATGAGGGTCTGGGCAAGGCGAGCTGCTTTAAGTTCCCTGCAGGGGGGAGACGGGAGAGGAAGAAAATCCCCATCAGCTGCAGAAGCAAGCTATGAACAATCGTGCTCAAGGGGGTTACGGCAGTGCTCCAGCATTGCTGGAGGATGATGACTTTCCACCCTAGAGGGCGAGATGAAGATTACTCTAGGTATCTCCAGAGTTTTTACTTCAGAACAGATCAGCTTTGCAGGTTTAACAAAGAAAACTATGCATCGGGTCATCAGCAACACACTGGCATCACTGTGAAGGGTCCCTCTCTGTTTTTTTCAGGTATTTGCGAACAGTAGAACTTAGATAGAGTCATCTTATCCAGCACAAATACCTAAAGGCACATGCTTTTTTCCCATTGCCTTTTCTCCCTAATGCTGCTCTTCCAGAGCATATTCTGTCCTATCTACATGGAAAGCCTATTCCCCAGCTGACTGTTGTCATGGGGCAGATCCTAGATCCCAGCAGCTCAAAATGTTATTGCCAAGAGCAGTGAGAGGGAGCAAGGGGAAAGAGGATTTCTGCCACCACCTGATATTTCTCTTCCTTCTGTGCTAGACCACTGTTTCAGTGCAGTCTGGATTCCTCGTCTGCCCATTGGCTACATATTGTATTGGTAATTTCCATCACCAGTGCTTGCCATAAGCATGCAAGTTCACTGCTCTAGTTTAGCCAGCTCCTCTGACCCAAAAGTGAACGACAGTTGCTTGGGCACTACAGGTCCCCACTACAGCCCCATCACCCTCCCAGCTCCAGGCACAGGAGCTGACTGGGTCTTTCTGCACTTCAGGTCTCCCAACACTACTGGTGACCTGCACTTGTCATGTCCACATCTTTTTGCCTTCATGCCCAAGCCAGCCCTACCTTTCCAGCATGGCAGTCTTGCATTTCTCCACATTTAGCTGCTTTTGGAGCTGCACTGCTTTTCCACGTGAAGGACAGAGAACTGGATGCTTAGTAAGAGCCATGGCAGAAGGTCTTTCCGCTGGGTCAGGATGGATCATGACCTGGAAGGCAAAGGAATTCAGGCTTTAACACTCCCTCTTGTCACGTGCCAACTGGAAAAGCCTCCATCCTGTCAAGACTAATTCTTCACCTTGAGGAGTTCCAGGAAGTGTTGAGGAAGCTTCTGGGGGATCGGTGGGATATTGCCTTCACGGATATGGTGCCACATGGCCCCATTGTGAGGCAGCGGTGCTGTGCCGGCTGCTAGAGCTACTGTGAGTGCCAGGGCAAAGATGTCTGCCTTCGGCAAATAGCAGTATTGCTGCAGAGAGAAGAAACAGATATGGAAAGGGAACATCCTGATGCGCTGAACAAAGGTGGGTTGTGGTACAAGCTCAAATAGAAACAGCCAAACAAGTATATGTACAACACTGCCCTCACCATCCCAGTTAACTGTTTTCTCCTCTTCAGGATAAAAAAAAACATTGATAGCAGATAGTATCGGTAACTAACAGCACATTGGCTTTCACCCAGTCACAAGGAGCATGCAGCCCACATTAGGATCATCCCAACAAATCCAGAGAGAGGGTGGCCTAATAAATGTGTGCGTCCAGCCTTCACCACAAGGCAATAAGCTAGCCATGCCCAACTCAAACTAAAGACTGCATGTGATGTATGGACCTAATGGTTCCCAATCTGTTTGCAGCACAAAAAGATACTGTCACTTAAATACCTGAGCTGATGAGTACATCGAAGCTGGGTGTTACCTTTTGGTTCACTGGCCAGAGTGGCAAAACCACAGCCAGTTTAAGAGGTATGTTGTGCCTCTCACCTCTCCACACTGCCTGATCAGTGCTTGTTGTACAAAGCAATTGTCTGGAGCATATATTCCTCCGTAATCACATCCAGCAGTTCAGTTGCATCTGGGTGTGTAAATGAAGTGTCTCCAAACTAACAGAAGGTTTTGTCCCATTCAATAGTTGCAATAATCTAATGATAAAGTTACTTATGAGGTATGTTAAATATTCATGACAAGCCCCATGCCCGTACTATTCTTAAAATGTGAATTTTGCCAATTTCACAGCCAGACCAGACACAAGAACAAGTAGATAAGGCAAGGAATATGTTGAAGTAATGATGTCACTACAATTGGTCTCTGCCCACTTACCACCACACTGTTCTCCCCACCACCCTGCCAGCAGCAAGTACCTCTTGCAAAATCTCATTAGCCAAAAAACGTCTGTCTCCTTCCTCCACCTGGGGGTTTGTTACTGATGTCACATGGCCAAGGTCACCTGAGACAAAGAACAAGCAACTAAGGCAGCAAACTGATGTAGATGTCCATCAATAAAAGCTTGCATTTCATAGGCACCAGCAGAGCAGTTGGGAAATACCGTGTAAGAGAGCAAGCTTGCCTCTACGCAGAAATCTGGGCTTGGAAACAAGCACTTGAGTTTTCTAGGACTTGTCTCTTTAAAGGAATTAATTCTGATAAGTAGCAAAGGCATTCAAGACTCTGTTGCCGGTTTATTATGCAAGTCTCTTCAGCCAGCAGGACAAAGTAGTATCAAGCAGCAATGAGCAGCCCTAATCTTAAGCCAGTTGTAAAGTGAGTTTAAACCTACCAATCTTATACACCACACCAGAAGAGAATTCATCTTCACTGTCACTCTCATCCTGCCCAGGAGGGCTCACAGCTGCCAGCTTGTGACAGATGAAGATATTACCTGCAAGACAGTGAAGTTTAGCAGTTGTGAAGTATCAGCAGCCAGACTGCAGCAGCCTGACAGCTTTGTAAGAAATCACAGTTAAGCTTTGCAGCCAGAGAAACTACACACATGCTTCTCACCCGTTAGTCTGCTTTTCATCCAGCTCACATACTCAGCAATACAGCTGGCAGAAGACAGTTGTGACTTTTGCATAAAATATCCCAGCGTTACCAACTTTTCCACCCCTCCCTTCTGCCCCCCAAGATAAAAGCACTATTTCATCAGTAAAAATGAGCTCCACTATGAGGATATAGCTATGTGACACTGGAGAGAGTATTGCCCTGGAGGCACCCATCCTCAGCTGCAGAGATGAAAGCTTGTACTGTTTTTTGCAGGAACTTAATCTCTCAGCGTAGGTACAATGAATATTCATTCCTCAGCTCTCACATACAAAGGTCAAGTGTTGTGCAACAAGACAACCACAAATAAGGAACTCCCCACCATCATTAGCAGCCCTACTTGCTCCACAAGTATCAACGCAATTCCCATGAGCTAGGATTACGAGTATCATGAAACTTAAGTAAAATGCTGCCAACTGTCAACAAAGTCTCAGTACTACAGCATCAATAATGGCAAGATATAAAAAAAAAAAAAAAAAAAAAACCAAAAAACCAAAAAAAACCAAACCAAACCCCACAAGGCATTCACCTTTTAGGGCAAAATCTTCTTTCCTTTGAAGCGTTGTAATAGGTCCAGCCAGAAGGACCTGTTACAGATGCTGTCTGTGGAGGGTTACTTGGAGAACCCTCCACAAAGGAGGAGGGTGCTGTACTTACTAGGTTTGATATCCAGGTGCACAAGGCCAGAGTTGTGGATGTATTTTAGCCCCATGGAGACTTGTAACAGTATTTCTTTCAGCTCCATTTCTGAGAAATACTGGCCAAGCTTTGCATTTTCCAGCAGCATGTCTTGGAGGCTCCCACCTAGTGAAAACAGTCAGTCAGACCTTACAAAGATTTTATGGAACACCATGTTTGAAAGCTTAGTAGAAACTGTTGTCCAGAGAAAGTGCAGGCTTGCTAGTGGCAAACCCTGACCAGACCAGCTATATATGTTCTAGTGATCCAACTAGGACATCACTGTTTGGCTTCAGCCTTTCTATTGCCTCAGAGCACCCTTTGTCCTGCTTGCCAAGGACTGAGCAACTGCAGTTCTACCTACCCTACCAGGGCTGACCTGGTAGTGATGCTGCTGCATGTGAACAGTGGAAAAGTTGATTACTTTTGCAATGCTAACAGGTGTAAAAACAGGTATGTGAATGGTAGAGCAAGGAAGTTAAGCTCCCACTAGCAGGTTTGAGTGGGAAATATAACTTGACACAGAAACAGAGTTTTGTGGGTCTCCAAGGCATTCTGGCTATTCAGGACTAGTCAATACCATGACCCCTCTCCCAAGCAACCTGCTCTTCATCACCTTTCCTTTAGTGTCAGATGTTCATCCTCTAGAATACAAGAAATGCATCAGTGCTGCAGCAATGATCACCAATTTCATGGTTTCTTCCATGAGATTTGAAGTCATTACTCCAAACAGCTGTCATCACCCATCACTGTGGGAGCAGTTGAAAGATGAGAGCTACATATTTGCCTTCTGTTCCTCTAGTAGCAGAGGTGTCTTTTACAATGTCTTCCAGTGTTTGGGAGTTTGCCAAGGGCAAACTCAAGTACAAGTGTACCACCCTGCCTGCAGCACCCCTGTTACAGTTTACCTCATTATTTAGCTCCATTCCTCTGCAGCTGTTGAGCCCTAGTCATTCTGCAGATTGTCACTCCCCTCCATTAAGAAGGGTTTGTTTCCAAGGTACATTCACTTAGCTTATGTGCTTGCGTCACTCAGATCAGGTTTTACCTGAGCAGTCCCAGACAAGCTGTAAGCATCAGCATGAGGATCACTTCTCCCAGGCCAGCCAATGCAGAGGAACAGGTTTTAAAATCCCACAGATTAGAGAGTATTCATTACTCATAAGGCACTAGCATCATTCAGAGCTTTGTCTAAATATTATGAGCCCTCACTGGATTCTCCATGGCACTGTAGCCCCAATGCAACTTGCCTAATTGTAAACCAAAACATCCCATATTCAAGTACAAAAGCAGGTACCTGCACCCATCCCGAGACCTCAGGCTTTAACAACACCGCAGCTCTTACCATTGCAGTATTCATTCTGGATAATCATGTGATCATCCTCTGCCCACGCCGAGTAGTAGCGCACAACATGGGGGTGGTGTCCAAGGACAGCGTGAGCATAAACCTCGCGCAGTGCCACAGGCCTGGAGAAGCATGCACAGAGAAAGCAGTGGTGACAGGGTGACAAGGTCCTGCTTGGGACCAGAAGGGGAAGCCTGGGTTGCAGCCTGGCTTGAGAAAGGGAAAGTAGAGGTGTTTAGGACTTTCTCTCGGGTTTTGGCAGACTGACTGGCTCTCACAGCTGCTGAAGCAAAACTCACCCATGCTCAAGTGTGCTGAGCAGCTGTCAAAAAACATAGATCACTGAGCAAGGCTTGTTAAAGAGGTAGAGGCAGCTTGAAAGGCTTTGCTTTAGCATGCAGGACAACATTACCTGGTCAATACAGATGTAAGCAGTGCTGGCTGCATAGCGGGGCAGGGACATATCACAAATGAGCTGTTTGACAGTTGTTATTTTAAAGATACCAGCTGCATGGACATGAGAAGTTCAGGTAAGCTGTCATCTCACTTTGCAATGTATGTGGCTTCTTCTCTTTCTCAGGCATTTATATCTGACAATCCTGAAGTGGTAACTTCCCCCATTCTCCCTGCTATTATTTGGCAGTGCAACAGCAGCCAGTTTTTGCTTATGCCACCCCTCAGATACCTTTAGATCCACACTCCCTCCCATCACACCTCCCAAGAACATGCCCATCATTTCATCTGGCAGTTTCTAGCTAGCACACTCACTCATCAGCGGATCCTGCCAGAGGCCTTTTGGAGCGCTTGATGGCATAAACACATCCATCAAGACGTTTGATGCACTTGTAGACAGAGCCAAATTCCCCCACACCAATTCTTTCTAGTTCCAGGAACTCCTTCTTGTAACGGGAAACCATGTTGCTCTCTTTCAGAGGATATCTCTACAAGGTCACAAAACCAAAGTCAAGCATGAGTTTAAATACTTAGATGATAACACCTGTCATGTTTTTGGAGCTGGGTAGCACTTGTTCTCACAAAGCACCCATGTTGCTCCCTTTCCCATTGTGGATGTTCATTCAGGCACACTTCCTTCTTGAAATGCTCCATTTCTCTTTAGCATGTTGTGTTTTTTTCCTGACCACCTACCCAAGGTGGTCAGTTGGCTGTATGTGCCTAAGCCTCCTTGGGTTACAACCGTCACACCTCTTCTCTTGGCAGCCCTGCCCAGTTTCTTGAACTGTGGCTGATGGAGTCAGGGATGAACAGCAGACAACAAGAAGTCTTTCACCCAGCTACTGCAGGCTCAAGATGACCCATTTCCAGCCTTGGTAGGTGGGCATCCAGTACCTCTGAATCAGACTCCTGTACTGAACTTGTTTAAACAAGTGCTATTGCCTATTTTGAGCTCAGGAGAGAAGCTCATTGTGTTGGCTTAATGCAACCCCAGCTATGCAAGAACTTGCTTTACTCTGGCAGCTAAGGCTGCCTGCAGCAAGGACATTCTGGATGAGTTCAGCCTCTCATCATGTTTGAAGTACCAGCTGTTGACTAATGGAAGATTAACAGATCTCGGTGTATGTGTTTGTATTCCTAGCAATTTCTCACCAGGAGCCACTTTTCCACAAAGGGCTGAAAGCCTGCAGAACAGCTGGAACATCATTATTGCTACACTAATGGTCATTAGGGAAATAGGAGCTGCCAGTACTGCTTGTAGAGTGATGCCAACTGACAGGGGAAATAACTGAATGGGAGACAAGAAAAGAGATAAGCAGTGAAGCTTGAAGTGAACAACAAGAGAGTGGATTAGGTAATTTTTCTTCATCCTCTTCTGTCCCTTACAGGGACGGTGGCTCACGTTGCACATTGGTTTCCACAGAAATCCCTGCTGTGATTGCTGTAGTATGTGGTATAAGACCTTAAAGGGTGGGAGTAAAGATTTGGTCCCCACAGCCAGTAAGATGTAGCCCGTACAAACCAGCAGCCCTTCACAACAGGTTGTATTTCATAAGGCAGCTATATTTTGTAGTATCTTAAAAAGCTCAGGGAATAAAGATACTTGCTAGTACACAATTTTGTGTCCATATTACATACTCATTCTAGTCAGCACTCAATCAGAATAATATTTCAGTAAGTCACAAGCTGAGGCTTTCTTCTTAGGGAAGAATTTTGGTAGCCCAGATATTACCTAGTAAAATATTTAGTCTGCAGCTGTAGTTTTTCCATGGAGACCGTTTTTTTTCTGCAATACCACTCTTGTCGGCCAGAGGGTACCATTATTCTTCTAGTAAGCCTAATTATTTCACAGTTACAATGAACTTGCTTGTACAAGACAAGATACTTCCTTCAAGGAGCTGCTCAGGAAAAATGAGATTTTTACCTAATCTGAAGGCAGATACTTAGTTCAGGTTTAGCTTGCTTTCCAGAAACCAGCTGGATGAGTATCTTCCCCCAGATAAAAGTGGGAAGAATGTAGGATATGGGTTCCCACACCAGCTGCCTATCTCTGCCAGTACAACTGGGGGTACATGAGACCTCACACCCTGCCCCACACAGCCAGGCCAACACACCGTACCACTGACACTTGCCAGCAAAGCACAGGCATCAGCAACAGCAAGAGAACTTGGTTTTGAGTTGCAAGACAGCATTGCTGTCCTGTAGCTATATAAGCTGTGAAGGGACCTTCCCTTGGACCCCAAGGCACACAGACACCCCCCCGCTGGACATTTTCCTACTGAAGTACAGTATTTGCTGCCTTGGTTCAGAAGTTTGCCATTGTAACTACTGCAATTGAAACTCTGCATTCAGTACTTATCCACATCAGAGCTGTTCAGCTCAATACCTGTGTTTTTGCAGTGCAGATCTGTATATTATCTGCAATATAGAAACATCCAAAGATGCTCAGTACACCGATTCGTATGAACAGCAATAAACCTGCTTTTTCAAACCACAAAGGTATAGTCACTATTTACACCAACTCAATAATACAGTAGTACAGTTCTCCCTAAGGGACCAAAACTACATTATATTTCCTAGAAAGACTTCCTGACCAAAAATCAATGAGTTTTTAGGCTTACTTGTCAAAGTGTCAGATCTGCTTTAGTACAGGTTTCCTTTAGAGATAAGAATCATGTCCTAGTTTGTCTCAAACAAATGTTAACATAAAACATTCAGCTTGGAATTATTCTGTCATAAGTATTCATCCTCTGTCATGCCACCATGATTTATACTCCAAAAGCCAAGTAGATTTCATCAAGCACCTAGTCTTTACAAGTGCCTTATCCTCTCTGTGGAGGGAAATATACAGACACTCACCGGTGTAGGTAGCTCCCATTTTGTTTGACTTCTTGGATCAGGATCCCTCCTATAACAGAAGTTTAAGAAAGTCTAGATTTATCATTTCAAGGCATCAATCCAACTGAGATTTGAAATGAAAATATTTTTCAAGAGAAGCTCCAAACCTTGTTTGACAGTTTAATTAAAGATGTATTTTGTAGAGTGTTAATATACAAACAGTTTCTAGTTGAGGCCTTAAAGACTGTAGTCCCAGACAAGGAAGCCTTCTGTTTCCAGAAGCCTCCACATACCAACCTCAGTACTGCTCACAAGACTAAATGATTGTTTGGGGGCATCGTTCTCCTGGCCACCTTATTACTGGTGAAGCTGCACTGGGCAATGACCTTGCACAACAAGCTCCTAGTGAAGAAGATAACTGCTCCACTGTGATTTCAAAGGGGATGCCCAGCTGAGCATCCGTTACAGTTGGGGCCAGGAGTTGTAGTGCACAGGTATTTGACTATGTTTGTGTTTTGGTTAACCCAGATGAGATCTGGAGCTTTTGCAGGTCAACAGAAACCTGCACCCATCTTAAAAGCTGTATTACATGCAAGCATGCCTGTAATTTCTCCCAGGTTGTGGGTATGAGCATAACTGAATCAAGCTCCACTCCACCCATGTCCAGGAGAGAGAAGTACAATTTTCTCCTACAGCCACAGCATTGAGGTTAGCCATTGATCCCTTACTTACATTTCTGAACAAAAGGCAACAGCTTACTTTATTTATATTTCTACTACCTTCATGTGTCTGCATATGTTTGCTCTGCACCAATGACTACTACAGAAGTGAATGATTCATTGTTAGCAAATAAGTCCAGGTACAAGACATCTCCATCGTTACTTATCTCCTTTAAACAGCCTCCTTCCAGCCTGTTATTTAAGAGTAGTTCACTTACAGCTCTCCTCTGGTCTTCTGCTTGCCATTAGGAAGAAAGAGCATTTGTCGATATGACTCTGGTGTAAAAGGGTTAATGTTGACAAGAGATGCCCGAGTAGAGTCATCCAAATCAGCACCAGGAGTGAATCTCAGGTGTCGGAAGCCTTTGGGTGGGACCTTTGTCCCAGATGAAGGAAAAGCTGTCTTCGATAACAGGCTCTGTGTCGAGGGGAAAAAAAAAAAAAAAAAAAAAAAAAGAGGGGGCAGATAGGCAAGCAATGGTTTTGTTGCTGCAGTGTCAGAATAAAGTCTTTGCTCTCCTGCAAATCAAGGAGATCTCTGCTCCCTTCCTCGGGATAGCTGAATGATTAAACCCCTGCATCCCTAGTTTAGTCCTGACAGTTTTCTTCTCTTTCCAGAGAATTACATTATTCACTAAGCCCTTTCAGACTCTGTTCTCTGCTCACAAGGGTGAGGCCTGCAGAGCCATTTTGGCAAGCACAGTCCTAAAGAGCCAGCTGCTCATCTTCCCCACCTACAGAGACACAGAAATTACATCATATGTCGCATTAACACAGAAGACTCAGTTCTGCCAAGCAGGAACTATTGCACCAGTTTGGTCAGGACAGGTTTGTCAGAAGATGTGATAGAACATCACCCAGGTTTCCTTTTCGTTCCCCAGCAAAAAGCAGCATTAGCATAGGGGGAAGTTGGTAGAAATATTTTTATATGTCTACTGGAAAAGTGACCAGAACACAGTTCTCATCAAGAAGGAAACAAAGTTTGAGAAATATAAGTTCAGAAGGAACATCTGGATCTTCTATAGTTCAGCTTCCCACAGAAGAACTTTGGGTTTCACCTACTAGTTCAAAGCGCTGGGCTGAGTAAAGCATAGCTTCAGAGAAGCACCCCGTCTTGATCTGAAGACAGAAAAATACACTTGCTGTGATTTTACCCCTTGAGTACCCACCAACATTTTGAAATACAAGTTTGTTTTTTGACTTCAGCAGAGTAGCGTAAGGTCTAGGGAGGGTTTTAATATATACCTCTCCTAGTTAAAAGCCCTTCAAGAATCCAGAACTCTCCCTGTCATGAAGATCAAGATACTTCTATATCTTTTTGACCCAACAGTGGTCTTAGTCTTGTGAGTGGAAACATGGCTCCAAGATCGTATCCAGAGTTTCTCCCTTCTCTCATTGAAAGCTTTTGAGGATAAGACTCCTCAAAAGCTGCATGCAGTGTCCTGCATCCACCTGATCGATGCTGCACTCATGGATATAGCTACTTCTGGGACATCACTCTGTTTCTACCCCACACTTGGAAGTTCAGCTGCTTGTTTACTATGAACCTGAAAGTGCTTATTGATCACTTTCTCAAGCTCTGGTTTGCATCTCCTTGCTCTTGGATGGAAAAGTTCTGCATATGGACATATCAAAAGCAGTATATGTCCAAGCCCAATTTCCCCAGCAGCTTAGAAGCTCTGTAGAACTGTGGTTATGTTCTAGTCTAAACACAAGAAAGGGACCTAAAATACCATCGTAGCCTGCTGTTGTGTACATGCATTTCCCATCTGCTCTACTAGGGCTCTATTTTGTAATCAAGCAGACTTGCCTCCAGTGTCATCATCTGAGAGTAGCTGCTGCCATACAGTGTAAGCAACTAGCTCTAGCAATCTGTTACAGGATTGGGCAAGTCTGCAAAATACAATCATATTGTATCACAAACACATGCATCATAGCTGGGGCTCCAGTGCTCATCTCTCTGCAGCTGGATGTGACTCTGCTCTTACCCTTTCTCTTGCCTCCAAGTGTTTCAAGATCACTGCTCCCAGCTTTGTTTAGAAGCAGATTTAGGCCTTTTAGACCCTACCTTTTGCAGCATGCTTGGAAACCAAGACCCTTCTCCCTGAAGACAGCAAAGGAAAAGAAATTGTTGATTTACTGCAATTGCTGCTCATGGGCTACAAGGTGACAAGCCACAAGCAGCACGTCTTGAAGCATCCAGCCAACATGTTACCTACACAAACACGCACTCAGAACACGCTCCATTACCAGTAGATCAGATGGTCTGGAAGAGATTGGAGATCTCTCACCTATTTTCAGATGAGATTCGGGGAGATTTCTTATAAATGATCAATGCAGAAAATTCTTGGAGTGATGCCATTTAGAGCCACTTTCCCCTAGAGGGTGACAGACCACTCCTCAGTAAACATGGCCGCACAGTTGGTCGTATGTGGGCATAGGATCATTCTTCTCCCCATACAATCAGCTTTCTGGAGGGCAACAGAAGTCAAATCCCACCTTGGAAGTACTAAAAGGGCTCATCTTCTGTGTACCACTTAAGCAAAGGAGCAGTAATACAGAGCAGGAGAGAGGACTGAAAGAGCTACTTTCATTGCAAGTCTTGAATGCTAGAAGCTGGTGCACACAACAGAAGCTATCTAGGAACAGAGGATTGGTGCCAAGCCTCCGCTTATGCTTACAGAAGACAGAACAGATGCATTATATTCTGTACAAGAAATTTCACAGAAAACAGGTGCTAGGATCATTCTCCCAAGACACTAACTCAGTAGATAGGTTACGTTTTAGGACAGTGACAGAGAGGAAGACAGGCTAACCTTCCTCCACAAGCACACACTGATTCGTTACCCCAAATCCCACAGGGGATTTGCTACCCTGAGGACAAAGTCCGACTTTCCCTAAATTCACTGAGCAGCTCAGCTCCACAGAAAAAGAGAATGAACATCACTGGACAGCAAGCTGGTCAGAACAATCCAGGCTCACCAAAGTATACCCCAGCCACATCCAAAAAAAGTGCTGAACAGAGCAGCCAGGGAAGCTGCCTGTCTCCAAGTTCCCCTCAGAATGATGAGCACCTTGAAGGGAGAGGGAGTTGCACTTATCCCTCTGGGAGCACATTACATGCTTGCTACATAGATGCTGCAGATGCCAACCCCCTAAACAGAATGCGAGGGGCACACAGGCAGCCAAGGCACTTGGTTGCCTGGGGGTTTTGTTTCGTTTTGGTTTTTTTTAACTCGGAATTACCTGATGCCAACTAATGGGTTTTAACAACAGCTTGGAAAGATTCAAGACACTTACTCCCACGCACAGGTTTCTATTCACACCTACAGCATAATCCTTTGATGGCTAAGGAGCTCATGGTCCACATCTCCTAGAGACAAGCAACAGGTCCCTTCACCACCCATGGAGCAATGCCACAGCAATGCTGGAGACCTTGCCTGCTCAGACACAGAGCGGACACATGCCATTACCTTGGGAGTGTGTGGGGTATCACAGAGCTGCAGCTTTTTCCAGGTGATGTGCAGTGGTGTCTCAGCATCACCCGGCCTCTTGCACACAACCGGGGAACGCACCAGGGTAGGACTCATCCAGGCTTTTGTCCTGCTCAGGAAGATGTCACTAAGCTTTCTCGAAGGGGTTGCTGGCAAAGGGCTGCTCCCTTGCCACTTCAGGAAGTCACAGCTCCTGGAGGGGCTCGAGCTCGGGGTGTCTTCTTCATTTATACTTCTGTCTTCACTCTCTTCACCACAGCTGGAAAAGTCCAGTCGCTGAATGAAGTCATCACTGTTGTCCCAGTCATCCATCTCACCATATGAAACAGAACAGAACTAGTATGATACTGGCCTGCCTTGTTAGGAGGAGTAAGGCAGAGGGAGAGGAAGAGAGCATTACTTACACAGACAGAGTAACCATCCTCATCCTATTCTTTGCCTTATTAAGACATTAGTTCTACTTATCACATGCATCCCCCACCCCAATCCCACATACACAGAAACCTTGATCACTTGTTGATGCTACTTGATGACATTGATTATGGAAAAGCATCCCAGAACTACCAAGTACAAATCCATTCAGCTACTGCTCACGTAACAGATTTTACTTTTTGTCTTACTGGCATAAGTTAAATACAACTCAGAAGTCCCTGCCTTTCCCAGTAAGCCTCCAGGGCAACTTCTCCACCTACCAATACCTTATCCACTACTCTCATCACACATAAGAACAGAGCTTCCATATACTAAATGACAACACACACCAGCTTTCATCCTTTTCTACTTTACGTTTCTCAACCAGAGAAAAAGAATCCATGCTACATACAGCTGTAAAAGCAGAGGGTGCCCCAGGGTAATTACCAGATACCCTACAGACAACCCTTCTCCTGGCCTGGCACATTTATAACCACCACACACACGCACAGCTGAACCACTGGTAACAGGAAACTGACAGCACCTGAGCACAGTTGCCTGGTGGCCGAGGGGTTCTGCTGTGGATGTGGATTTGATGTGCTTGCAACCAGCTCTGCAGGGAGCCAGGGCTCCCTCTGAGTCATTTCCTTCCTTTTCCCCTTCCTTCCTTCCTTTCCCTCCTCCAGCTTCCCAGGGCCTGCGGGGAGGTGATGTTTGCTGACAGCCAGGCTGCTCCATGATAATCCCATCAGAGATGCAGTCTCTGTGGGCTTTACTTGTATGAATGATTAGTCTAATGGTAACGGGGTGCTGCGCTTCCTTCTTTTAAGTCAGAATTTCACTTCCTGTACTTAGGTGCGTGCTAGGTTACACAAGCATTGCAGCCTGCATGGAGAGGTTAGTAGCCTAATTTACAACGTGCTGGGTTTCAGGAGAGGGTTAGGGACCATGCACAGGTCTTTGTATGGCTTCCCATCATGAGGTTTCAAGGGGGAGGAGGGAGAAGCCGGCTGCGTTGGCAAAGGCAGCCTGTCAGGTAGGGTTGCTCTGCTGCTCACGGGGATTGAGTCAATGTCTCCTCTCTGTGAAAAAGAGATCTTTCTGTGCCTCTGTGAGCCAGCGTTTTGAAGAGGGACTAAAGTGAGTTTTAACTAACCGGGGGCAAGGTTACAGCAGCCTTTTTTGTCACTATCAAGGGGGTCTGCTAGAAGGACAGGCACAAACAGGAAGTGGCTGCAGCCCAGAGGAGGCAGGGATTTCTCAGAACCAGCACCTGCTTTCCTCTGCACACCTGAGAAAATAAAGGGACAATTCTATGATTCTATAATTCTATATTGATCTGAGGTCACTCAAGCCCTCCTAACCTGGTCTTTGAATGAAACACATGACCACACGGGTCTCGGAAGTTGCCCGTTCAGACTGTGACGAGCAACTCATTTGATACAGGCCACCCAAGCGGTGTCAGGGGGACATGCCAGGAGCTCAGTATTGTTCTTACGGCTCACATCTGGCCCAGAGGTTGTAGTGTTTCTTCCAGGCACAGAGCCTGTTGCTGCCCTGCAGACTCCTTTCCCAGGTCCAAAAGCCTGGCAGTGCTGGTGCTGGCTGCTTTTGCTGTGAAAAGCTGTCTCTGCAGCATCTGGCCAGCTGAGATCCTGGGTCAAGACCACTTCAGTACTGCTCTGATCTGACTGTATTAATGAGCTGTTCAGGACTTGGAGCCTTGGATAGAAATGTTTCATGTTAAATCTGAAGAAATAATGCTTTTAGTCCCAGTAACTACATTTTGATTAATAATCCCGCAATGAAACCCCTTCAGACCACAGTTCTAATCCCATCTGAAACATTTTTTTTAATTATTTTTTCTTTTTTGTTCTCCCCCTCAGGGTTATAGGCAGTGTCCATTTTCTAAAGAGTAATGTGACATGTAAAGGAGAAAAGTTGGACTTGCTGTGTAAAGAAGGCCCAACTTGTTCATCTTGCATCTTCTAACTAAAAGTCACCACATTTTATCATAGAATCACAGGATGGTTTAGGTTGGAGAGGACCTGAAAATCATCCAGTTCCACCCCCCCTGCCATGGGCAGGGACATCTTCCACTAGAGCAGGTTGCTCAAGGCCCTGTTTCTGTTTTTTTTCTGGAGGACTACTTAAAGATCTGAGGACATTTTCTTAATCCTCAGTCAGAGGGAAAAGATGTTCATTCTCTTTTGAGGGAGAGTGTTTTCTCCTGAAAGGGTCACATCCTCTCCTGACCTACATCTTTTCATATTTGGTGAAATAATAAAGTAGAAAATGTGGCCTTCGTTTTTTGCATGTGTCCAGCAGAGTGTGCCCTCAGCAGGCCCAGGTTGCTGGCCAAGGCAGTGCAAATAGCTTTGGTGCCACAAGGTCTCTTGTCACCAGAAGCTGAGAGCTTGGAGGGTGATGACATTTCGCATACCGCAGAGGCGACACTGGCAGCCTCTGTTCCCCATCCTCTGCTCTCCTCGCTGCATCCCCTCCATCCTGCCTGGGTGCACCACAAATAGCCAGATTTGTTTCCCCTGCCTGGATCGCTGGGGGACAGACTGACGTTCGCGCCAGCACCACTGTGGGGATGGAGAGGAGAGAAACGAGCTGTCACTTCAGCATCACTGACGCGCAGAGAAAATGTTCATCAAAATGAAGCTTGGCACCGCCTGTATGGGTAAAGTGAAGCATGTGGCCAAGTATTTGCAGAATCTGGCTTTTCTTTATTCAGTAACAAATAAAGTGCAGGGTTTGGGTTCTTTCTATACCAGTCACCTTCCACGAAAGACTCCATCTGCTAAACACCACCTACTGCGGTTTATAGCTCTGCAAAGTAAATTTGTGCATGGGCTTTGTGAAACAAAATGCCCACTCAGAGTCGGAGCTGTCTGAAATGGAGCTCACGGCAAATGGACGCTAATGTTACCAAAGAAAAAGGGAGAAAGAAACCAAACCCCACTGCTGAGGAAACTGGATGATGAGCTTCTTAATGGTGTATCGAACACTAAGAGCTGCTCAACAGGAAAAAAGTGAGGCAATTAAAGCTTTTATGACAGTATCTTCCCTTTAATTGTGGCCTGCTTAATTGGGTGATTCAATTAATCAGAAAGTCCTAGGGAACCGAGTTAAACCTAATGACACTTAATGACATTGGCGGTCACATAATGAGGATGGTAATTACACAAGTTGGCTGCCTGTGGATGCCTTGGTCGCACTTGTGTTTGTCTTCCAACATCAAGCTGATTCTGGCTGTTTCTCTGACAACTGTTCCACATCCTTCTATACCACATACATATCTACACTACGCCCCCCAAATCCCTCAGTGTATGCTGGATCGTGCCGCTGACCCTTCCAGGTCTGTGCCTTGCA